TGTAGTCTGCAGGGGAAGAGAGCTTTCCTATTACTTGGGTAACCAGAGAGTCAGCAGATTCCCCAAACCTTGGACCAGCCATGTCCCTGCCATGTGATTGACACAGCCCAAGGTCCAGCATGTCCCTGCTTTCCCCATGGTAGCTAGACATCCATTGAGTGACAGGATACAAACCCTGCACAAGTGCAGGAACTAGTAATGGGTACAGTTGCATGGTTATTTGCTATTGGGGTCCTAGTAAAAGTGTCCACCAAAGAGTTAGGAAGGAGAACCATCTTGGTATCCCAGAAGAGGGGAGCCTGTAGCACCCCATAAATGCCTAGTGCCATGTAGATGATCAGTAAACATTTGTTGAATGAAGGGATTCCTACTGTTTCACAGATGATATCGTTGATGACAATGATGGTGATGGTGATGATGATGGCGGCAACCAACATTGATTATTTATTTTGTGCTAATGCTGCTTTCTGAGTTTCCCATGCACTCCATTTCATCCTTACAACAGTTTTATAGGACAGGTGTTAACTATTAGAATCTCCGTTTTGCAGATGTGCACCCTCAGTGTAAACTGAGTCACAGAGAGGTTAAGTTATTGGACCACTGACAGGCACAGAGACAGGATGCCAACTCTTCCCAACTCCATTGTGCTCCTCAAATGGGGGTGCCAGAAAGGCCATGCAGAGCTTGGGAACCACCCACGTCATTTTCCCGACTGTGAAGCTGGAGCAGGCATAGAGAAAACTGAGCATACTCTAAGACCTCCCTTCCTGCCACCTGTGTCCTGTCCCTGCAGGAACCCATCAATCCTGTTCCTTTTCTCAGGCTTTCCACCAAATCCCTCCATGTTCAAGGATGAGCCCTATTCCCTTTGGAAAGCCACCCACTCTAAGTGCTAGATACTTAGATCTAATTTGACACACTTAGTGCAGGCCAGGGAGCCCCCATAGAAGCTTGGGAACCAAGTCCCTCAGGCTAGAGTGTTGAAATAAGGCCTAATTTTGCTAATCTTTTATCTCCTCTCAAGTCCAGAACCCTGGGGTCTTTACCCTAAATACTCCAGGAACCCCACATGCCATCCATGGACTACCTCCTAGGCTCTGTTAACAGCCAGCTATGATAGAGTCCAAGAGTAAATGTGAGCATGCCCACTACTGAGAGGTCCTCCATGACCCCTACCCAGCCCATCTCAGGGCCAGAAAGGTTCAGGAATGCCTTTGTATACAATGAGGGGATACCAGGAATGCCTCCACACCACCCTGAAGCTGCTTCTGGGAGAGCCCCAGTGGAGAGAAAAATGGACTCTACCAGCATAGACTTAGATAGGGATCACACACACACACACACACACACACACACACACACACACACACACACACCTGCTTTAGCACAGAAACCTCCCCAACATACCTGGCACCGACTTATCCCTGAAGGATGAGGTCACTGCTTGGGAAGCATCATAGGAATATCAGCTGTGTATCAGGGCCTCCCCACTGCCTGCCCCACAACTGCAGAAGGGATGAGAGGAGATGAGGTAGTGGGGCTCAGCAGGTCGTGTGTCCCTCCAAGGACACCATTCCTAGCACCAAGATAGTTCCTGATACCCATGCCCCTTCCCCCAACTTTCAAGTTGTGGCTCAAGCCCTCCCAACTGGCTTTTCCAGTTCTTGGCTTTATGTGGCGCAAGTTCCCCAATTATGCCCACATTATCTCAGCTGCTGGGCAGCCTCCAGCAGGCTGGGGGAGTGGAGGATAGAGGAGCATCAGGGAGCACCCATTTACCCTGTCAGGGAGGATGGAGGAATTGCTTGCTTGCCAGCTGACCAGTCAGCAAGAGTGCTAGACCATCTGACCTACTGACCTCCTCTTAGGCTGCTTCTGGGTGGGGCTTGGGCTGGGCTGCTGTGAGACAGTTAGAGCCAGAAGGAAAATAGAGACCCAAGGCAGCCAGCCTGCTGCTTTGCAGAGGCAAGGGAAATGACTGTCTAGGGTCCCACAGGTAGTGGGAAATTCAGTCTCCAACTATGTGCCGTACTTTCCCCCTCCTCACAGCCCCTCCAGCCCCCAACACCTCTGCTTGAGATATCTGGTGCTTCCAAGAGACATCCAGGGGTGGGGGACAGGAACACTCAACGTGCTTGTTAAGGCTGTGCAGTGTGAATGGCAAAAGGAATGGGATGTGTATGGAATTCTCAATGCCAAGCGCATGGCTTGGGAAAACCAAGTCTCTCTCTCTCTCTCTCTCTCTCTCTCTCTCTCTCTCTCTCTCTCTCTCTCTGTGTGTGTGTGTGTGTGTGTGTGTGTGTGTGTGTGTGTGTCGCTCTCTCTGTGTTTCTGTCTCTCTCCTATCTCCTTTCCTCCACATACTTCTCAAGGTCTCACTGTGTAGTCCAGAGTGGCCTTGAACTTCAGATCTGACTCAGACTCCCGAATGCTAATATTACAAGCATGTCCCACCATGCCTGGCTCAGCATGCATTTCCTGAGAGCCTGCTGTACACTAATGCCCTGAGATCCCACAGTCAGTATGATCTCTGGAAGAGTGGAATGGGGAGCAATGTGCTGAAGTGACCAATAGCTTTGGGACCTTCCCAGGAGTCCCCATTTCTCCACCACACAGAGGAGGCAAGGGAAGCCCCAGCTTCACACTCTTGGGTACCAGTTCTCTTGAAGCCATCCTTCTGCCCCGTGTCAGTAGAGGGTTTGGTACTATTGATGGTACTCAGTAAGCTGAAGGCATGGGATCTAAGGTACACAAATGTGCTCGCTCATCAAACACAGGAAGTGTGTACAATCATGTGATTAAGATGCAGCCTTGGGGACATGACCCACCCAGAGGTGGACAGAAGTGGAGGGCAGAGCCTGGGTCTGGGCTGGTTGTCTCAGGCTCAAAGTAAAGAACTTTCTAGATGTGGAGATTGGAAGGAACTTATACAAGCCTTGCCACCCACTGCCTTCCTTCCTGGGAGCCCCCATTTTCTCAGCTACCACCACAGTTTACCCAGCAATAAACATTTGCTGCACTGGAGAAAAGGAAACACGGAAGCCTGCTGTGTAAGCCAGATGCTGAGTTGAGTTTGGGGACTCAGGAAGAGAAAGAGCTCCCTGCAGGAGTTCATAGTCCAGGAGAGAAGTCAGGTGTAAACAGCCATATTCTGAGGCAGGGAATGCTGTTCTAGGGAAACCTAGAGGACCAAACTTCCTAATGGAAGGGCTTGAGTGGGCTCCTCACAGGAGCTGGAGAGGAAGGGCCCTCTTGCTGTGACTCTGTACCCCTTCTCCAATTCCTGCCCTCCCACACCCTTGTCCTTTCTTACCTGTATGTCATTTGGTTCCCGAGCAACGGCTGAGATAGAGAAGACTGGGTTATCTGGCTCATTTGTCAGATGAGGGAGCTGAAGCCAAGGAAAGTTCCTAGCTAGAGCTCCTCTTGGAAAGTAGACCTTTCTCAGACCTAACAACAACAACAACAAAAAACAAAAAACAAAAAAACAAGCAAACAAACCTATAATCCTAACTGTCTGAAGGCTGAGGCAGGAAGATGTTTAGTTCAAGATCAGACTTGACTATATAGCCTAAAACTGCCCTCAAAGATATCTTGGGAGGACAAGGGGAGGCAGAGCTTAAATGTAGAGCAGTAGTAGAGACTTGCTAAGTATGTTGGTTGTCTCCATCCATAGAACTAGACAAAGGGTATATGGATGTATGTTTTCTGACATGAAACACTGACCTGCATACTAAATGAAAAGTAGCATTTGGACAATCTGTACAGTATGGTTCTAATTTTGTTTTTTAATATAGAGAGTTAGGGAGATGGCTCACTGGATAAAATGCTTGCCATAAAAAAACATTAGGACCATATTTAGGGTCCCCAGCACCCACACAAATTCCTGATGGGCATAGTGGCCTGACTGGGAGGCAAAGATGGAGTTCCTGGAGCAAGCTGGCTAGCCAAATGAACACTGTCTGGGTCTAACGGAGAGATCTTGCATAAAAGTATACGGCTGGGAAGCTCATGCCTTTAACTCCAGCACTGAGGAGGCAAAGGCAAGCATATCTCTGCAAATTTGAAACCAGCCTGGTTAGCACAGCAAACTCTAGGCCAGCCAGGGATACATAGTAAGACCCTGTCTAAAGAAAGGAAACTATGGTGGAACTCAATCAAGGATACTGAGCATCAACCTCAGTGCAAAACACACACACACATGTTAAAAAAATACAGAGAGTAGCCAGGTACACATGGAGAATCCCAGCACTCAGGAAGCTGTGATATTGGGTGGTGGTGGCACACATCTTTAGTCTTAGCACACAAGAAGTAGAGACAGGTGGATCTCTGTGAGTTCGAGGCCAGCTTGGTCTACAGAGCAAGTTCCTGGACAGCCAGGGCTGTTACACAGAGAAACTCTGTCTTGGCAGAGGAGGACGAGAAGGAAACTGAGACACGAGGAACATGAATTCAAGGCCATTCTGAGCTACAAGTGAATGATGTCATTGTCTTCTTGGTATTTTTTCAGAATTATCTAGAGTGAGACTTTATTACTAAATTCATTTATTTATTTTATATGTATGTGCATGTAGAGTGGGTATGTAGAGTCAGAGAACAATTTAAAGGGTCTCTTCCACCTTGTAGGTTCTGGGGATCACATTTAAATCATGATCCTTGGTGACCAATGTCTTTACCCACTGAGCCACCTTAACAGGCGATTTTTATATCAAGTAATTAATTCATTTTGGAGGGATTTGGAATGAGTTTCACTTGTATCTCAGGTTGGCCTGGAACTTACTATGTAACCAGGGCCAGCCTCAAAGTCTCATAGCAATCTTGTTACTTAAGCCTCGCACGTGCTGGGGTTATGGGCACAAACCACCAGACCCTGTGATTATTTTCGCAAGAAGAATTACAAAAGTAATGACTGCTGTAAAAGCTAAGACCGAAGGACAGAGAATGGCAGGGGCGGGGAGTAGTGCCCGGCACTGACCACTTCCTGTTATCCCCTCTGCCAGGCACTCACACACAGGTGGTGCAGGTGAACGACTCCATGTATGGCTTCATAGGCACGGATGTGGTACTGCACTGTAGCTTTGCCAACCCACTGCCCAGTGTGAAGATTACCCAGGTCACATGGCAGAAGTCCACCAATGGCTCCAAGCAGAATATGGCCATCTATAACCCAACTATGGGCGTTTCCGTGCTGCCCCCTTACGAGAAACGAGTGGAGTTCCTGCGACCCTCCTTCATCGATGGCACCATCCGCCTCTCCCGCCTGGAGCTGGAGGATGAGGGCATGTACATCTGTGAATTTGCCACCTTCCCTACAGGCAACCGCGAGAGCCAGCTCAATCTCACTGTGATGGGTAAGCTGCCCTGGGCCTCTTTCCCTTGCCAGTCAGGAGGGGTTGGCCATCCTTAGCATGTGCCTCAGTGGCCCCAGACACCCCTGTTGGGTTGGCATGCTCCCATAACACCAGGCATAGTGCCTCTCACTTGACTAGCCAGATTGTCCATAATTCTCCGAGGATTGGGGGTGGGGCTTTACCTTTGGGCAGGGGCAGTTGTTAGGTTGGAGCCCCCCACCAAGGGACATTGTGTTGCAGACTTGGATGCAGCAGGTGCTTTAGACACCATAGTGAGAAAGGAAGCTGCTTGGCTTGAGCATGCCAGATTTCTTAATCTAACAACAGGACTATTTGTGCAGCAAGAAGGATTTACTGGCATGAGGAACTCCCCAAGAGAAATTCTGGGAAGGGCTTTGGCAAAAGACAGCTGAGAGGCAGGGGTGACAGGCAACTTCAACTGATGCCATGGTGTTGTGCCCACAGCGAAACCCACCAACTGGATTGAGGGTACCCAGGCAGTGCTTCGAGCCAGGAAGGGACAGGATGACAAGGTCCTGGTAGCCACCTGCACCTCAGCCAATGGGAAGCCTCCCAGTGTGGTGTCCTGGGAAACACGGCTAAAGGGCGAGGCAGAATACCAGGAAATTCGGAACCCCAATGGCACAGTGACAGTCATCAGCCGTTACCGCTTGGTGCCCAGCCGGGAAGCCCACCGGCAGTCCCTGGCTTGCATCGTCAACTACCACCTGGACCGCTTCAGGGAGAGCCTCACACTCAACGTGCAGTGTGAGCCAGGGCCAGGGGCCCTTCCCAACCATTACTACATGTTCTACTCTTCTGTTGCTTAGTCTTTCCCACTACTTTCTCCTCCAAGATGCTGCAATTTGTCCATCCTCTGTCACTACCCCTCCCTCTAACCTTTGTGCTTGCTGCTTTCACTCCGAGGTTTTACAGAGCCAACTTGCCTTTCCTTCTAGCTGCTCCTGGGTCCTCACTGTCTCCCCTCCTTAATTGTGACGTCTTTCCCTTTCCTGCCTGCTCCCCTAATGTCACCCTCTTCCAACATCCTCCCTTGCCTCACAGATGAACCTGAGGTGACCATTGAGGGTTTTGATGGTAACTGGTACCTGCAGCGGACAGATGTGAAGCTTACGTGCAAAGCGGATGCGAACCCCCCAGCCACTGAATACCACTGGACCACGTGAGTGCTGTAGGCTGGCCCATCCCTGAAAACTTCCCTTTGCTGGACCACAGGGGCCCAACCACACACCTCCAGGGAGTAGGGAGGATTAGAATCTAGGCTCTGATATTTCCATGGGAGTTGGTTTAAGAGGTCCCACATAAACACACATACTATGTACACACACCTCTGCATCTGAGTGCTAGGGTTTGGGACTAATAATCTTGCCAGTAGGGGTTTCCCTTGTGACCTGCTTCCCTTCACTTACTAATAAAGGATTTTATCATTTTCCTTTGGTGAGTCATCCCACCCCAGTCCCTATTATTTATTTTTATCAAGGTGTCCCCTGGGAAGCTGGTGTTCTGGAACACCCAGTCTTTCTTGGTTCCTAGTCCTTCTGTACAACAACCCCAGGTTCTCTGGGTAGGGGCAGCAGTAGACCCCCATGTCCCCCAAAATAGCTTTACAGTCTGCTTCTTGACCTTCAGAAAGGAACATACCCCTCTAGCCAACTTGAACACCTCAAGCCATCATCCCTTCCTCAGAGACCTAAGTGGGACTCAGACAGGGGAAGCTAAGAAAGTTGATGCAAGTGGCCAGAAGACAGCAGCTAAGAGTGAGTCTAAACCATTTTCTAGGGAGTGGAGGACCTGCCAGGGTCCTCCTGGCAGCCTGCGTTTCTAGCCACAAAACTGCTTTTGAAGGTGAAGGTGGGCAGAACATGCTTGCCAGGGCCAACTGACCCTGTAACCAGAGCAGCTGCTGGCTTAACTGAAGAACAGCTAACAAGGGAAGGATGAAGGTCTTCTGTACCTGGCAAACTCCCAAGATGTTCCCCATACAAAAACGTCTTGAGACATGCCCAGCAGTGGCAAGATGATGAATAGGAGCTTAGCCATGCCCATTTCCCCATCCTAATAGCTTCTCCAAATGCATTTGGCCTCGGTAGCCCCACTAAAGGAGAACTAGGGTCAGGACCCAGGTGTCACAGTTGTCAACCCACTACCAAGGAGACAAGGAGCAGCAAGAGGACCCCGGAGCAGTACAACAAGCACTGTACTGAAGCCTGCAGACCCAGCTGGCCTCTGCTCTGCTGCCTCCTAGCTGTGTGTCCCTGGCCTTGAATCTCGAGTCTCATCTGTTAATGTGGGAGTGGTATCCACCTGCCTTGAATACATTTTGGTGGCGAGATGATCAATCATGAATTGTCAAGCATGGTGGTCCAAGCCCTGTAATCTCAGTGCCAGAGAGGCCCAGTCAGGATTGCTGCAAGTTCAGAGCCTACCTGGGCTACATAACAAAACCCTGTCTCAAAGGAAGGAAGGAAGAAAGAAGGAAGGAAGGAAGGAAGGAAGGAAGGAAGGAAGGAAGGAAAACATGAATTACTGAATAATAGAAAACTGGAATGCAAGACATTATTGTTACTCTTTCCTCCGTCTCAAACAGAGCCCAATATATGCACTCAGCAAAAGAGCTGGTAGATAGCATTGGAGGCAAGTGGGTGCCCCAGTGGCTGGTTCTTGATTCTGGAGAATCCTAAACCCTCACTGTGTCTCCCAATACCTGCAGGTTGAACGGCTCTCTCCCCAAGGGTGTGGAGGCCCAGAACAGAACCCTCTTCTTCCGAGGACCCATCAGCTACAGCCTGGCAGGGACCTACATCTGTGAGGCCACCAACCCCATTGGTACCCGCTCAGGCCAGGTGGAGGTCAATATCACAGGTGGGAATCTTCAGCCTCCCCTGCTACTCCCCAACCTCAGGTTCTCCATAGCTGTACCCACTCCTTTCATTGTACCTGGTGAAGTTTGTGTCTCCCCCACCCACCCCCTTGCTTCTCTGCACCTCGGGCCATGGTTCTTTATTTACATTTTTCTCTTGCTTTGTGTGTGTGTGTGTGTGTGTGTGTGTGTGTGTGTGTGTGTGTGTGTATGTGTTGGGGTTGGGGGGGAAGGGCATGCTATAGGGTTCCGTCAAAGTGACCTTCAGGGGTGGGAAGTGCTGTTTTCAGCTGACCACTTGCACCAGGGAGTCAGGCTGGCTTGATGGGACAGGTCTGTGGCCCAAGCTCATGTCCTCCAAGGTCTGCAGCTGGAGTTGAGGAAGCCTGTAGGGCTGCAGGGGTAAAGCTGGCCTCAAGCAGAGCACAAGACAGACAGTAATAGAGGCGAGTGTGAGCAAGCACCCTGAAGGAACCGGACACTTATGTCTCCACACTGAATTGCTCTTTTCCCAGGTCTTTCTCTGTCATTACACTAAGGGTGAGTCAGTCGGGAAATGAGTGCTCTGATGCTCCACAGAGAGACTTCACCTGGGATGTGACCCCAGCAGGCCTCGTCTGTAAAATGGGGGTAGTATGACCTGCCTTGAAGAAAGAGCTGCTGTCCAATGACACATAATGTAGGTCACATAACCTAGCACAACTCAGTCTGTCAGTAAGTGGCCATGGCTCTGTTATTATTGCCATGACCTCCGTCATTATCATTGTCATTAACAGAAGCATCAAAACAAATGCACCAAGGAGTAAATTGCCACCAAATTGCCACCAAACTTCAAAAGGGGGAGTGTTTTTAGTATCAAACCTGAGCTGGCTGCAGTGTGAGAAAGTGACACAAAGAACCTCCCAAAACAGGAAGGGATATCCCACTGCCACTAAATGATGCAGGGTATAATGTGCACAGTGACCTTTTGCTCCCAGGACACAGGTTTTGGGGAGCTTGAGGATTTGCTGGCTCTGAGATTAAGACATCATCTGTGGGTATTCCAAATACATCTGCACAAAAGCAGCTGGAACTATCCAGGGACCACACTGACCTGTCCTTGGGCTGTTCTGTCACCTAGGAACAAAAGGGTGTGGTCACTTAAACTCCCTGCCCCTGACTCTGAGAGTATTGGTAGGAGAAGAGGTGCCAGGGTTAAAGCCTGCTAACCGCCAAGGTAACCTGCCAGGACAGGGCTTGGGAGTTCCTATAGGGTGACAGACAAGCAGAAGAGGACTATCACACAATTCTCCCAAGTCTGAGCTCTGGCTCTGAGGCTATGGGGTTGGATGAAGAAATGCACAGCTGCCTCCTCTGAGAAGTCATCATTACCAGTGTGATGAGCAGTGTCACTTGAGGGCCAGGAATATGTCTGTGGAAGGACTCTTGACTATGTGGCCTTGAATAATGTCTTTGTCTCTCTGAACCTCAGCTTCCCAATCTGTAAGTGAAGGTAGTCCAACTTACATCCTATGGTCCATATGACCATGTTAATTCCTCCACAGGAACACCAAAGCCATTATAGCATCCCATCTGCCACCCAGGAACTTTGAGAAAATGATTTCTCTTCTCAGCACGAGAAGACTCACCAGAGACACTGCTAGGACAAGTATGCCAATCTCAGAATTGCAGGAGGATGCATCCTCCCTTCTCCAAAAGCCCAGGAGCAAAGGCAATGGTCTTGAGGAAGGGCTCCTCCTTGGGGTTCAGGTGCAGGAGCAGAGAGGAGGAGAAGAAAGAAAAGACTGGCCATGGGGAGGAAACCATCATGGGTACCCGGTACCTACTGTGGGACCCGTGGTCAGGTCTGTGTAGGTGGTGGTGTGTGCTCGTCGGCACAGGTGGTCTAAAGCCACCCTGAGAGAGCTCCAGTTGGAAAAGGGTCAACCATGCTAGCTCTGTTGCTGGCAAGTCTACCAGCCAGGAGCAAAAAGACAAGGAAGTATAGCACTCCTTGCTCTCTGGACAGGCGCAGGGGCTGTGGGTGAGCTTTCAGCCTTTCTGAAGGGTTCAGCCAAACATTCGAAAGCCTTTCCAGAGCTGTTTATTCTCTAAGTGGCAGGTGACCTCATCACCCTTCTCCCCTCATCAGCAAGTGACCTCTGCAGTCAGTCTCTGGGGACCACACCAAGGGGCACAGCTGGCCCCTGTGCTCCCAGCACACTGGTCCAAAGGCAATGCATGAGTGAGAGGGATAAGTGGAATTTAATATTTCATTCTGACCATCCTTTCAGGTAATAGCTTTGCCCTGGGCACATCTGGAGAGTAGAATGGAGAGCAGCTGGGGTGGGGTAGGCAGGAGGCACACATGGAAGGTGAGGAGCTGGGATGGCAGTGGTGGGGATGGAAGAAGGGCCCCAGAGCCTCTGGAAGGTGCGTAGTATAGCAAGGCTGGTTTGACTATGTTCAGATAGCTGCATGGTGGCACCAGGACACTAGTTAGTCACTGTCACCGTGACTGAACTCTAGTGTGAAATAGGCCCAAGCTGTGGCCATAGGGATAAGAAAGCTGAAGAAACAACCCAGTGGAATTTGTGGATGCACTTAATAGCTTCTGGCTCTCAAAGACACCAGTTTCCAAGGCCCTTGTGCTGAGAAGCAATTTCAGAGTGCTAACACTAAAGGTAGGGAGGGGTCTAGGGTATGACCATGACAAAGTAGGATATAGCTTTTGCCCCTAAGGGTGTTAGGAGGAAAGTGTCAGATTGGCATATTGCCATTCCCAAGAGCAGGGCAGGGAAGCCACTCAAGCTCAGTGTGTCTGTCCCAACTCTTACTTCCAGTGAGTGAAGTCTGGGCTCATCCCATGGGCATGCCAGTTGGGCCAGTTTTTTGGACCAAGGATGGTGGGCCTTCTTCACAGGGAGTGTCTTTGCAAGTGTGCCTGCCCAGACATGAGTGTGGGTGTGTTCTTCTGTAAGCATGTGTGAGCCAGTGTGAGCAGGCAAGCCACTGTCTGCATGCTGAGTGTGCAAATGGAAGCCTGGGGCTATGCTGAGGGCAAATGTGCCCGTCTCCAAGCCAGCAAATGGCAGTGTGTTTGGAAGTACGAGAATGCAGCTGAGCCCATTCCTCTCTGGGAGTTCCTCTTCTAGCTTGCAGGAGCCCTGTCAGACAATGGGGGGGGGGGCTATACAGCTGCTTCAGCTGTAGAAAAGGAAGACAGCAAGACTTCTCAGGGTATGACCCCAGGCCTTCCCATTCTCCCTGTGGCTGATCTCATTGCATGCTGGGAAATGTAGTTCTCACAACTTCCTGGCCTGATCTGATGTAGGTCACTTCCTGCCTGCTCAAACATTCAGCGTTGTTTGTGGAAGAAAGCTCAGACATTGTCTTTAACCCTAGATCCTAATTCCAAACTACAAACCTTAACTCCAGTTCACCTCAGGTCTATCCAAAGCGCCCCCCCCCCCCAGGGCCACTCATCTTAGTCTGGGAACTAGGGACCCAGAATGAGAAGTCCCATTGCTCTGAGGTCCATCCCAGGTTCCCAGAGTGCAACCCTTCAGAGGCAGGGCCAGGTGGGCCACTTTGTAAGAGGATGTGAGAGGGTTCAGCTGGGCTCCCGGAAACAATAACAAATGACCCCAGTGCTCGGTTCTCCCCTCTCTCCAGCTGTAGCCCTTATGGTTCTGCCTCTACCACAGGGACAGAAGTTGCTGGCTGACTATGACAAACGGAGGGGTGGAGGAGAGGAGCAAGATGTCCCTTTCCTCCTGCTGGCACATGAATTAAGTTCCCATAACCACCCCTTCCTTCCACCTCCCTCACTTAGTGCTTTTACCTTGGCATCTTAGCTATCCCTCTGCTCTACACAGACCTGACACTAGTTAAAACAACATGGGTTCCCTTTGATCCTAAAGCAACCACAGGACAGTAAACCTCATTAGAGTTTAGGAAAAAATAAATAAATAAGGACGAGGACTTGGGCTGGAGAGGTCAGAGGTAGAGAACCAAGGATAATGTGTCCCTAAGCCATTGCTCTACTCCTACCCTGACTCCTATAAAATGAGATCCCAGTGTGTCCTGGGCCCACTTTATCTCTGGGCTAAATGCTTGCACTGCCTGGAGTGAGCCTCATCTTTAAGGCAAAGCCATGGCATGGGAGAATATGTTCTTTTACTCAACAAAGATTTATTTGCCACATGATCTGGGCATTTGCGATAACTCTGTAAGCCAAACAGACCAAACTCTGTCCTTGTGAAGACTATGGGGTCCTGAAGGTGACACAGGAAAAATAACAGTTAGAGAAAGGTTGCTGTGTTGGAGATGAGGGACTTGTACATTGCATTTTAAAATATGGTAAGTAGGGAAAGTGTTCATGAGTAGGTGATACTCAAGCCAAGCCCTGAAGTAGATGATGGCATGAAGTTCCAGTCCGTGGCAGAGAACCCTCAGCCTGCAGGAAAGCAGGGTAAGATGGTGTCAGAGGTAGAGCAGGGCACAGGTCATGGAGAACCTTCTAGGCTCCGTGGCTTTGGGCTTTCTTTGAGAGGAAAATGGCCATTAGGAACTCTGGGCAGAGTAGTGATGGGATCTTGCTGGCTGCTGTATCAAATACAGTCCTTAGAAGCAAAGAAAGAGTGGAAACAGTTAGATGATGATAGCCATAAATAATCCAGGTGAGAGATGGTGGTGTCTTGGAGGAGGGTGGTTGGGATGGAATGGCGAGAAGTGGCTAGATTCTAGATTTATTTCAAAATATAATTTACAGAGTAGTTTGGGACACCAACCATTCTCATCAGACGGATGATACAGCAAACCCTGTCATTCTGTGATTAGTAGGGTCAGAAAATCCAATCTAGCTGAGTTAAATGTAAGAGCATGGTATTTTTCATTGGCTCTTTGCTGGGAAAGCAGGAAAGTAGTCATGGTAGAACTTGTGTTATGCACAGCGGTCGTGCTGCAGTGAGGCAGCCCCAGAGGATGAATGGCTACTTCCCTCAGCCCTTCCCTTATCCCAGAGGAGGAATCAGAACCGACCATGGTTAATCCTAATTTGCCTTTATTATTAGCAATGAATGTAATTAATATATTGGAATCAGAATTTTTTGTTTTGTTTTGTTTTTCGAGACAGGTTTCTCTGTAGCTTTGGAGGCTGTCTTGGAACTAGCTGTGTAGACCAGGCTGGCCTCGAACTCACAGAGATCCTCCTGCCTCTGCCTCCCGAGTGCTGGGACTAAAGGTGTGCACCATCAACGCCCAGCTGAAATTGTTTTAAATTCAATGAAGGGTGCTGGCAGAATGTGTGGTGTTAGGAAAGGTTTGTCTGTGAACAGGGACTCACTTTAAGCTGAGTCTGTAGTCCCAACTACTTGAGAAGCTGAAGCCAGAGGATCACAGGTTAAAGGCCAGCCTGAGAGACTTAGTAAGACCCTACCTCAAAATATGAAGTAAAAGAGAGCTAAAAATATAGCCTGGTGGTAGAGTACTTGCCTGGGTTCTATGTTAAACCCTCAGTAACACACACATAGAACCCACTTAGATAGCAAGCATAATATGTTAATCAGCTTTCTGTTACTGTCATAAAATACCTGAGACGATGAATTTAAAAAGAGGAAAGGTTCACATGCCTTTGACCCCAGCACTCAAGAGGCAGTGGCAGGCAAATCTCTGAGTTCAAGGCCAGCCTGGTCTACAGAGTGAGTTCCAGGACAGCCAGGACTACATAGTGAGACACTTGTTTTGGCAGGGGGATACGGTTCATTCTAGCATGCAGTTTCAAAAGTTGCAATCCATGGTTGCTTGACATAGGCTTTAGGGCCTATGATGAAACAGCACATCGTGGAAAGAATGTGCCATTCCGGGGAAGCCAGCAAACAGACAAGGGACAGGGTCCCCATAGCCCCATATCCCTTTCAAAGACATACTGCCAGTGACTGGACTCCCTCCCACTGGGCTCCAGCTCTGAAGGTTCCACCTCCTCCCAGGAGGGCCATGATAGCAACCAAGCCTTTAGTGCCCAGGCCTTTGGTGGGGACTGCAGTGAAGGTGTGTGATAGAGGCTTGTCAGACCAGGTTCTAAGGCCCAGCAGGCAATGGGGACAAGCTGCTGGCCACTGTGATAGAAAGTGGTCATGACTTTACAGCAGGAACTAATCTGCTGAGAGATGCGACAGCTAAGAGTGCAGAGACCCAGTGAAGGCGAGAGGCTCAAGCATCTCCCACAAACAGCAAGGGAACAAGGAGATAATAGAGGAAGAGAGTCGGAGGGGACATATGCTGGTGGCAGTGGGACCCCCCAGGACAGGACTGGTGAGTGGAGAGCATGACAAAGGAGGGCGGACAACCATGTCAGTACAGTAGGATCTGAGACGGTGATTCCAGAAGTTTCGTGATTCTATAGCCCTAAATGTTACTTCCTTGGGGTGGTCCTGTGGGCAGGAAGATTGTCAGGCTTCAGGAAGCTGGAAATTTCTCCATCCTGTATCTTTTTCATAGTTCAGGGTGTTGGGCTCCCGGGTTGTCATCTAAGCCAATATTTCTCAAAGTGTTTGTCCTACTGTTTTATTTTACTTTATTTATTTATTTTTGCTGAGTTCTAAGTAAGGATCAAGGTTCCATGCAGTACAATTTGGGAAACTATACCAGAGATCTTCAGAGATACAGGTCTGCTGCTGAGTGAGAGCTGTGTACTTAAGTGGCTTGGGAAGCTAGGAGGATCACAGTTAAGTCATGAACTGGAGACAAAGGCAAAGCCTCCACTGGGATAGCTGGGGAAAGCCAAGGGCCCAGGGATTCTCTCAGCAGGCTCGGGGCACAGTTCAGAAGCAGCAGGCAGGTCCTTCCATATGGATACCTCACTTTCTTAGCCTCTCTGAGACCATACCATGCTTCAGGACTGGGCAAAGTCCAGCCTCCAAGAAGCCTCTTCTAAGTGGGTGCCACAGAGTTCTCTTTCTCCTGAGCGCTTTGCTGCCAGCATCCTTGATGTCTGCTTGCACATCATTTGGCTCCATAGCAAGAGCATAGAGAGAAAGATACTTGGGGTATATTTGCTCACTGAGTAAGGAAATAGACAGGTAGGTATGGTCCAGGAACAGAAAGATCTCAAGTTCAAAGCCAGCCTGGGTTAGTAGGGCCTTTTTTCGAACCAGCCAAGCAAAGGAAGACACGGAGGCAGATGAGGATCAGCTCTGAGAACTGAAGGGGAGGAGCAGGCTGAGTGGACAGATGTGTAAGGCATTTCCCTTCTAAGGGCAGTGAGCAAATGGGACCCAGGAGACCAAGAGGAGTTTGAAACTGCTCCCAGAGACCGTTGCAGAGGTAGGCAGTCAAGAGAGATAGCAGTAAACATCTATGGACCAGGTCCTCTGTGACCTGCGCTGAGGACACAGTGGCGGCAAATGGGAGCATCTGAGTGGCCACAGCTCAGCCTTGTGATCTCAGGCAAGTGTCTCCCCCTTTTGGGGCCTCCATGTTTTCACGGGGAAGTCTTTCCCCCATTCAGAACCTCCGCCCTGCTCCTGCCTGCTTGCCAACAGCACCCCACACACTCACATGGGGCCCATGGGAGGAGTGTGATTCCGATGGAGTGAGCGATGCTGAATCAGGAGTGAGCTGGCTGCAGCAGGCTTCCAGGAGCAGATGTATGGGCCCAGACAGGCACAGTATCTTGGCTCTGGCCTTCCTGGACCAGGCTGGAGAGAGGACTGGACAGCAGCCTTCCACCCCAGATCCTTACCAAAGCCAGTGGTCTCCGGTGCCACCCTGTGGTCGTGCTGGGAATCGTCTTGCCCTGGGACCTCTTGGCCTGTGGCTTCACCTCACCTCCCATCCACCTGAGACCTGGAAAAGAAAGAGGGGGGGGGGGGAGAGAGAGAGATTGCCAAAAAAATTACCCACCCTGCCTTCTCTTCCTTGCACAGTCTTCTAGTCTTTTTCCTCACCTTTATTAACTTATTTCCACTGTCCATATCATTGGCTTTTCTTTTTTTTTATTTTGTCCTTTCTTTTTTTCTTTTTTGAGACAGTTTTACCCAAACTGGCCTTGAACTTACAGCAATCCTCCTGCTTTAGTTTTTTGAATCCTAAAATTACAAGCATGAGCTATTACGTCTGGCTCAGTCTGTCCTCATTATCTGCATATCTTTATGTACACATTTGTCATGCCTGGCAAGGCCTGTGGGCCATTAAACATGCTCATACATGTATATGTTCCTGGTCTGTAATACACACAATGGGCCTCTGCAGCCTCTTTCTGCCTGTCCTCACTTTGTGCCTGCAGTCTGTCCCCTCTGGTGTCTCAACCCTGTAGCCTAAGCTGGCCATCCCAACAGGTCCCCACCATGCTTGCCAGACCACATCCAAGAGTCACAACTGTAGTTTGTAGCATACTGGCAAATGACTAGCACCCACAGAGTATCTACTGAGCTAAAGCTTGGAAACCCATTTTCTGTGTGTCTGGAAGGCAAAAGAAATCAGTCATGGACTACCTACTAGACTCCAGGTGTTGAGACAGTAATGTCTGTATGTCAGGCAGAGGGACATTGGTGACATGTGCACAGGGTTTATATGCAAAAAAGGAAGAAAGAAAGAGAGAAAAAGAAAGAAAGAAAAGAAGAGAAAAGAAAGCAAAGCAGTAATATATCTTATTGGCTAAGTAGCCTTGGGTAAGTGAACCACAAACCACCCCTGGGGGGTGGCAACAGTGAGGGGCACACAGTTGGGTACGTGCAGATGTGCCTCTGCACTATGATGGGACAGAACAGGACCACACCACGTCCAGGGGTGGTCAGGATGAAAGGCTGGGTGCTCTGGGTACTTTAGCTGCCTCTCCTCTTGCCTGCCATTTCCGAGCTCTCAATGCTGCAGCTGACATGACATCAGGAAGGTGGGGTGCTAGGAACCTCTGGCACCAGGACTGCTCTAGCGTGGGGTGTGGACATCCTGTCCTGGGCCTTTCTTTCCCTCCCCTGCCTCCCGACACCCCTGCTGACTTGTGAAAGGCAGACACTGACACTGTCCCCTCCATCTCTTTTCCTCACCCAGAATTCCCCTACACCCCGTCTCCTGAACATGGGCGGCGTTCGGGGCAGGTGCCCACAGCCATCATTGGGGGCGTGGCAGGGAGTGTCCTGCTGGTGCTGATTGTGGTAGGAGGGATCGTAGTGGCACTGCGCCGGCGCCGGCACACCTTCAAGGGTGACTACAGCACCAAGAAGCATGTATACGGCAATGGCTACAGCAAGGCAGGAATCCCCCAGCATCACCCGCCCATGGCACAGAACCTACAGTACCCAGATGACTCAGATGATGAAAAGAAGGCCGGACCGCTGGGTGGGAGCAGCTATGAGGAGGAAGAAGAAGAGGAGGGCGGTGGAGGGGGCGAACGCAAGGTGGGCGGACCCCACCCCAAGTATGACGAGGACGCCAAACGGCCCTACTTCACTGTGGATGAAGCTGAGGCCCGTCAGGACGGCTATGGGGACCGGACTCTGGGCTACCAGTATGACCCTGAACAGCTGGACTTGGCTGAGAACATGGTTTCTCAGAACGATGGGTCTTTCATTTCCAAGAAGGAGTGGTATGTGTAGCCCTGCCTTCTGGAGCCTCTGTCGGTACCCACTTCTCCCTGGCCCCTACCCGCACGTCCCCTGCCCACCCCCACAGCCCACTGCCCCAGGAGCTCGACAGAGACTTGACCAGCTGCCCTAAACCAGCCCCAAACTCCTGGGGAGCCAGGGGAGCTCAGGGCAGACCCCACTTGGCTTTGTTTTTTTATTTCCTCCCTCTGCCCCCCTTCCCCACGGTGTTGTGTTCTACTGTGACTTTGGTGTTGCTGTATCTTTCCTTTAAGGACCCTATCCACTGCCCTCTGTGTAGGGAGCCCTGTTCTTGTCTTGTGTACTTGGGCATCCCTCCAGGGTTTGGGGAGCCAGTCCTCTCCCACCCCCAACACTGGAATTTGTTTGTGTTCTCTTCACTGGGGATGGAGGGCAAAGGGGCCTTCGAGATGAAGAGCACCCTCACCCCGCCCCACATGCTGCTCCTCTTCCCAGAGAGAAATAACCCAGTGCCCCCCACTCTAAGCTGATGCAGCCAGTGCACCTAAGAGGTTTTAGGGGAGCCCTCCATGGTACCCAGAGGGGTCTTGTCTGTGAAATAATGGAGTTGAGGTTCCTACTGGGGCCCTGGGCAGTGTGCTTTTCTGGTGAGGGTGGCTTATGTTCTTTCTTTCTTTCTTTCTTTTTCCTTATGGCCTACACAATGGAGGTTGACCTAACTCTCCTATATCCCTTTCCTTTATCCCCAGTCCACTCTCTACACGCAGGTGTCCTGGGGTGGACTCTACCCACAGTTCCTGTATGCCCCTGCCAACACGTGCACACACGCCACTGGGTCTATGCCAATCTCCCCCAGTGCTCTCACACCCTGCCCAGGCTAAACCCTGCCCCACGCCTCACCCTCTGCTTTGGCTCTTACTCCTTCCCAGCTCAGGGAGGGATCAGTCCACAGAAGCATCCAGAGACGGTGAGGATGAACCCCCAGCCACTGCCACTCTAAGATGTCAGTGTAGTGCCAGCCTTTCAAACAGTGTGCACATTTCTCAGATTTCTCTTAATCTGCCAACACTTGACTCTTCTGGAAAGTCGGGGCTGGGATCCCAGGAAGGAAGCGGAGGCAACGAAGTATTTATATGTTGAGGGCAGCCTCGTGGAAGTTCTGCAAACATAGTCTGGTAGACTGAAGGGGGCTGCTAGCGTCTCACACAGAAAAGCCAGTATAGATGTCACAGGTATCAGAGAAGGGGGGGCACCCAGGAACCTGCTGCTTGTCCACAGTCTGACCCCTACCATTTTCTCCTGGTGCCATGATGAGATGAGGGGGACCACAGAAGGGCCCTCCTTTGCATGCAAAGTCCCTCTTTGAATGGGGCTCTGGCTTCTTCAGCCATTTGGGGCTGGGCCATCCCTTGAGTGCATGGAGAAAGGCCCCTTCCCAGACCTCTGTCCCCAAGCTCAAAGTGCCTCAGTTTCTCCATCTGTGCCCCCAGATTCTCCACATTCTAAATTGACATGCCTATGTCCTGGGGTAGGCAAAGTGGGCTACAAGAGACCTAGGACCCGCCAGCTAGGATCTCAGCTAATTTAGCCCAAGGTGACACTCTGAGGGATAGTAAGTGTTGGGGAGAGGGGAGGCAGACCATTCTGTGCCCCACGGGCATTGACCCACCCTGCCATAGGCTTCCTAAGGGAGCCCCAGCCCTCACCCCACTCACCTCCCTGGTGCTGCTATTAAATTCCTGGTCCAAGCGCCATCTCTGGTAACCCTCAGCCCACCAGCTGGGGCCATTTCACCAGGCCCTCACTGCCCTAGTCCCAGCCCAGGCCGCCCAGTAGCCACGTAGCAGAAGTCTGAAGCCATGCCAGCCCTGTGGTGGCTCTCCCCTCTTGGCATTGGGGATACTGGATGGGGTGGAGTTTGGGGAAGAAAATTCTGGGGCCTTTGTAGCCACAGGGCAGAGGAAGATAGGGAAGCTGGGCTGCTTCTCCCAGCAGTATTAATGTCCCTCCCATGTCACATCACTTCCCTTCTCATGCCCTGGCCCCTCTGCTTGGTCCCCTTACCCCAAAGGCGGGAGGCAGAACCTTAACTGCCCCATAGAGGTGTTTCTGTTCTATGGAACCATAAGACTGAAAGGCTCGTCCTGAACCTCTTGTACCTTTCACTGTCACCCCCTTGTCCCTTGTTTTGTGATGGATTGAGGAGGCCCTGGGCCCGGGCAAAGCACCTAAGCTCCCCTCAAGACACCCGCACGCCTTTCCCCCAAGCAAAGCACAATTAGTGGTGTGCACACAGCAGAATCCAGGATCCCAGCGCTGGCGCTGCTACCAGGCAGCTGCTACCTGGGCTAAGAGAGGAAGTGATGAGGCAGGGATCAGTAGCTGGGTCTGGAGAGGAGGGGCTTTCTTTGCCCTGTGTGTGGGACAGTGGCAGCATCCAGCAGACAGTGCAAGGCCCAGTGCAGCACAGCGGAGGTCACCCTCATGTCCCCAAGCCAAGCTGAGCATCTGCCTTACTGCACAGAGAATAAACTTGGTGTGTTAACAGTGCCAAGGCCTCTCCAGTTGTCATCCTCACTATCCCATTACACACACACACACACACACACACACACACACACACACACACACTGCCCCTCTGCTGCCCTGGACTCCTGTTTCCCTACAGGTTTTGATATTGTTCTGATGTCCAACACCCCTCTGAGTCTCTTACCAGAAGGACTGAAAAGAGCAGCAGCACACAATCAGTGAACACATGCCCAGCATACCGACACACGCCTTCCACAGACCAAGCACAGACAGGCGTGTGTGTGCACAAGTACACACACGAGGAACGGGAAGCCCTTACTAACGCTCAGGTCCAAGACAGATGGACAGGGGCCCAAGCCCTGGGAAGGCGCCACCTCTGCCAGCCACCCCCGTGTGCCCCAGTCACTGGTGCAATAACTTCTGCCGCCCTCGAGGTGGGAGAATCAGGACTCAAGTCAGGTGGGTGGGGCCACTCCTCTGAGCCCACAAGATACCATATTCCCTTTCCTGGAAGGAGAGGGGGTGCTCCCAGGCCTCTGGGGGGCCACGTGGAGACTTCCCCAAGCCTGACTGCCAACTGAAACACCTTTTCCTGGTGAGGACAGGTGGCTCAAGCTGACCTGGGCCAGAGCTACCCAGAGCTGAGGGACCCAGTCTCACGGATGCTGCTTCCTGACCCTGGCTGTGAGGAATGGGCTTGGGGGGGGGGTGAGTTTTGTTTTGTTTTTTAACAAATGGAAACAAAATCCAGAAGAAGCTGCCAAGCTTGGTTTGCTTTAGTTTCTTCATTGCTGGTTTCCTCTTTGGACCTGGGGACAGCCCAGCAGATTCTCCTGGTTCTGACCTGAGGGGGGCGGTCCCACCCCCTTTTACTTGTATTAAAAAAAAAAAAGATGGGTTGAAAATGTACTGAGAAAAAAAATGTACTTTTTTATAAATAAAGTGTTTAAAACAAGCCCATCTGCCTCGTGTCTCTGAAGTGTGGTGTGTGTAAAGCTAGATAAGGAGACCCAGCAGACAGACAGACAGACAGTGGGGAGGACAAAGCACCTCAGATAACCAGAGCACCTGATCCTATGACAGGGACTCACTGATGTGTGCCACCAGCCACCTTGCAGGCCTCTCCAGTTGAGTGTAGGCTGCAATGGAGCCATCCTTCCATGAGAAGATGAGAGCTGTGCATAGCAGCAGGGCACAAGGGTTGGCTGGCGCCTGCTGCCCAGGGCCAAGGCTTGCAGGGTGGGGGGAGGGGTGGGCTCAAGAAAGGGATGACGGGAATACACAGCTGCGGAAACCCTGCTCTGACTAGAGCCACAAGCAGCCCCTTCCCCGTTCCAGAGCTTTTGCCTCACTCACCACCCCTTTCCCAGGTTGGTTCCCTCATGCCCACTTCCTTGGGATCCTGTTTCTCTCTGCCAGGTCCCCTGTGACTCTGAGAAGAAAGCCCTCGGTGGAGCACCTGCTGTATTAGACAGGTCTCCGAAGGCAGAAAGCGGGGCTCTATCCTTCTATTCTGAGGCTGCAGTGCAGCCCTGTCCCCGACAGCTCTCCCTGGTCACAGCCTTCCCCCTTCCCTCCCAGGAGGCTGGGTGGAGGGAGTTTTTCATGCCCCCCCAACCCCAGCCAGCAACATCTGCTTCCACTCTCCTGGCCTGGAATGCAGGACAAATCACCCTGAGGCCCTGAGGGTGGGAGGACAGAGGGCTTCAAGGACTGCCCCCTTCTACTCACCCTGGTGGCATCTCTTTTCACCAAGATCCACCCCATAGAACCCTGGGCTCTAGAGGGGGCAGGGACCACAGAAGCCAAGACAAGAGGGCTGCTTATCGAACCCTCAGGTCCACGTGGGAACAAGGCTGCCTCCTCCACACCTAAGATTAGATCCCCTAGGAGAGGCAGAATCCAGCGTGGATGAGGAGCCCACAGCTGCTGGCAGCTGGCTGGGCCCCTCACTGGACAGCTACACCAAGGCACCCAGGACAGACAGAGCTGTGTTTAGATGTTGATATTGAATGAGATGCAAATTGGTTGTCTAAGCGGTTATTTCCTCAGTTTTTCAGGCTGTCTGTTTAAGTTAATTTTTAATTTGTGTGAGCAATAAATGCTTAATTATATTATTAATATATTGGAAGAGAGCAGTGGACAGAACATCCTAATTGGCGTTTAACTGGAGCGTTCCGGCAAATTAGCCAAGACTTTCTCCAGCTTTGAGGAAGGAGGGCAAGCCAATTAGTCTCAGGCTCAGCCTCTGTGGGTGGAGCTTTTCTCTGGGAGAGGCAGACCCACACCTTCCCCAGGCCTGAGGCCACATGCCTGAATCCAAGGATACCAGCATCCGCATCCACTTCCTAGTTGAGTTAGGTTTAGGAGAAACTTCCTGCTAGTTAAGCCATGGCTTCTCCTTCTGTCCAAGCCCCAAACCCTTGGCCAGTGCCTCACTGCAGCCAGAGCAAGGAATCCAAGGCTGGCCGGAAGCAGTCCCTGCCTGAGTAGGGCTAAATCTGCCTCCTGCATGCACCATTGCCTCCTCCCAGTTGGTACCCTGCTCTCTAGGGACCATTCTCCAACTGAGTCTCTTGCTGCAGACAACTAAGGGAATAAACCTGATGTTTGTGATTCCTATATTTGATCACACATTCTTTTTCACCTAGGTCACAGTTTGGGTCACTGGAAGCCAGGCCACTGTGCTAGTCTGTGATTATGGCCACTCCTAGAGCATCAAGGACCCTAGATTCCAAATTAGTTATTGGCCTCCTGACCAAGGGCTCTAGTAGTGCACAGCTGTGTAGGGGTTCTGCAAATATTGGTGGGTCACAAGTGCTCTTGGCAGACTTCAGTCATTATTTGTTCAAAGTGGCCATGTCAATCCAACCCCTCTCTCAGTACGAGGAGCTGAAGTCTACAGTGAAAATAGGAACCCAGAACACCCCAGTAAGTGTATGCTGAGCTTGCTCATGAGCAGGGCCACCTCTGATGGTGGGGAGTAGGGTGTCAAGAAACTGAGTGGACAGGAAAACAGATCTACAACAAGTTACTGTTGACCACAAATCAATAGTGGAACATAAGATAAGCACTCAGGAGCTACACTGAACTTTGGGTAGAGTTGCCAACCATATTAGACTCATTGAGGAAGACTTCCTGGGAAAGACACCAACAACTGGTTTAAAACAATGAGAGGGACATGAATGGTGGCACAGTGGGTGGAGGAAGGCTTCTGATGCCTGGAGTAAGCACCAGCTGGACCCTGCTTCTGGAAGCACCTCTGTACCTGCCTCCATGTCTAGCAGCTTCCAGGAAACAATCCTCAGGCTTGACCTTGATGCTAACCTCCATGGTCTTCAAGCCTTGTTTTCTCCCGGTTTGATAGGCTTGATGGCAGCCATGCCCAGGTCTTCTGGGGTCTGCTGTCTCACACCCCATCTGTACCACCAACTCTTAGATGAAAGTCAGTGGTATTGTCCCCTCTTTTTCTCCCTCTGACAACCACTCCTCCCCAAATACACACACATTCTTCATACCTCATACCCTGCCCCACTTCTGGCATATCCAGTTCACCATGAATTCCAGGCTAAGATTAGCATAAGAATAATTATTTATGTCTGCCTTGAGAACCAACACAACAGCATCATGTATGTACATCACAAGTGCCATGAACACAAGGTACTTAGTACAGAATCACCTAAGGTATTAATTACTTGCCTTGTTACTATGACAAAATAGCTGACCAAAGCAATTTAAGGAAGGGTTTATTCTGATTTTGATTATCCACTCTCTGACAGCCTGGTTCATCACAGTGAAGAAGGCATGACATCAGGAGCCTGAGGGCTGGTTGCACCACATCCATAGTTAGAAGGTATAGAGGAATGAATGTTCATGTTCAGTACTACTCTTTTCTTTAGTCTGCAGCCCAGAGCCAAGGGAATGGTGCTGCCCACTTTTAAGATGGATCCTCCCAACTTAATTAACCTAATCTAGATAATCGCTCACAGACAAGCCAGGAGATTTGTTCCTATAGTGATTCTACGTCTTATCAAGTTGACAATCAAGATTTATATCACAGTTGAGGTTTTAAAAACATCAAGCCTTGCCCCAGGCAGATATAGGCAGAACCTCTGGGGCTTCGGAGGTTTTTTTTTTTCAAACAAGATAGTCAGAACAATCTAAAAAACATTCAGATTCAAGCCTCCAACATGAAGTTGGGACCATCCTCAGAGGTCAATCATGAAGAAGAGGAGGGTCCTGAGATAGGAGCATGACTAAGCATGACAATGTTTGTCTGTAATCCCAGAACTCAAGAAGCTGGGGTAGGATTGTGAGTTCAACACACGCCTTGAATAAAAAGCAATGCCTTTAATCCCAGCACTCGGGTGCGGGTGGGGGGGTGAGGGGGTGAGGGTGGGGGGGTGGATCTCTGTGAGTTCGAGGCCAGCCAGGTCTATTTATCGACTTCCAGGACAGGCTCCAAAGCTACAGAGAAATCCTGTCTCAAAATAACAAAACAAAACAAGTATAGTATTTGAAACGGCAAAGTAGATGGGTAGTCAGATGACAGGGCAAAACAGTGTACATAGGACTTAGGTACCGGATATACTATTTATTATCATTATTAACCACCAAGACACAATGTCCTAGATGATGATGCTTGTCACAGAGTCCAGCGCCTGGAGGCAAGTAGGGGCCCAGGAGATAGCCATTGCTGTAAGCAGGTGTTCTGATGCTACTCCACTCCTAGATGTGGGGCTGCAGGCATTTTCCAGAAGAGAACGGAGGTCCCATGGGACCTCTGTGAATGGAGATTCTTGGTTCATGGTGCTGGAAGAAGTGAATGTGCTTCAAGAAAAGGAAGTTGACAGTTCCCTTGGTAGCAAAGATGGCAGTGCTTACACCCTTTAAGCCCTTTCGCTGCCCGAGGACTGGCCCCAAATGTCCTGAGAAGGCCTGTATTCCACAATGAATGAAAACTTTGGGAGGATGGCTGATCCAGAGCCCTGCAGGTCCCCTGACCTCCTCACACCCAATTTCCTCTCAACTGAAGGATCTAGCTTGTCTTAGTGTGCTTTCTATTGCTGTAGTAAAACACAATGCCCAAAAGCAACTTAGGGAAGAAAGTGTTTATTTCATTTACACTTCCATATTATAGTCCATCATCTAAGGACATCAGGGCAATAACTCAGGCAGGGGCCTGGAGGCAGGGACTGAAGCAGAAGCCATGGAGGGGTACCAATATATTCCCCAAGTCTTGCTCAGCATATTTCCTTATCATCCCAGACCACCTGCCCATGGGTGCAGCACCCACAGCAGGCCAGTTCACCCACATCAGTCACTAAGAAAATGCACCACCGGATTGTCCACAGGTCAATCTGATGGGGGCATTTTCTTAGTTGAGGTTTCTTCTTCCCAAATGACTCTATCTTATGTCAAGTTGACATAAAACTAGCCAGCACAGAGCTCTTTTTTGAATTTACAACTTCCCTGGGATGCTCAGCCTTAGGAGAAACCCATAGTCTACAAGCCAAGGAGCAACAAGTCAAAGAGCTCACAAGTCTCTCTCTTGACTGTAGATCCAGGAGAGGAAGAGTATCTTCCTCATCCCCAGCACTAAGCCAAGAGGGACATACAGCTGGTGCTCAGTAGAACTGAAGGCAAATTGCATCTGTCAAAGTGACAGTCAAAAGAGACCTTTGGATCACACAGGCCAACCTCTCCCAAGGCAGGGCTATCCACAAGCATCCCAGTGCATCTAGTAATGGATAGTTACTTAGCTCATAGGTAACCTGGCCTTCCAAGGGTTGTTCTGACCAACAGGAAAAAAAATTCCCTCTCCAAGTCTCACTCAACTACCAGAGCACACAAAATAACTTAGCCTGTCTCCTAGGATAACCCTTTGGGTATTGTTTATCCAAATAGTTTTCCCTGACCTGAACAGTAATCAGGCCACCTGCCCTTGGGAGTCAG